TGAATTACAACTCAACAAAAAAGACAAATAACTCACTTTTAAATGGTCAAAAGATCTGAATAGATATTTCTTCAAATAAGTTCTTGAAGAGATGCTCAAACTAATTAGTCTTTAGGGAAATGCAAATAAAACCACAAGATACTTACTGCCTTACACCCAGTGGGGTGGTCATAATTTTTTTTAAAAAGTAAAATAACAAATGTTGGTGAGGATGTGGAGAAAGTGGAACCCACATACATTCCTGATGGGCATGTAAAATGTCTCAACCTCTGTGAAAAAGCCTGGTTGTGGGAAACAGTCTCACAGTTTCTCAAAAAAAATTAACTCTAGAATTATCATATGACCCAGCAATTTCACTCCTAGGTATATACCCAAGAAAACTGTAAACATGTCCATATAGAAACACACACGTGAACGTTTATAGCAGTATTATTCCTCGTAGCCAGAAAGTCAAAACAAGCCAAATGTCCACCAACTGAGGATGCATAAATTAAATGCGCTATATGCTTACAGCAGGGTATTGTTCAACCATGAAAAGGAATGAAGTACTGATATATGCTGCAACACGGATGAACCTAGAAAGCATTACATTAAGGGAAAAAAGCCAGACATAAAAGGCCACATATTGTAGATTTTGTTTAGATCAAACGTCCAGAATAGGCCAATTCATAGAGGCAGAAAGTACCTTAAGTGGTTGCCCAAGGCACTGAGAGAGAATGATAACAGGTTCAGGATTTCTTGCAGGGATGATGGAGATATTCTGGAATCAGACAGCGGTGAGAGTTGTAAGACACTGTAAATATACTGAGAGCCACTGAACCGTATACGCCTTATAATGATGTATTTTATGTTATGCGAATTACATCTCAATTGAACATAAGGGAAAGTAAATAAAGGATGACTTATACATGGATCAGTGACGGGGTATGTCAAAAATTATGGCTGATATAATTCCATGCACCTGAATTCCCCCTCAAATAAAGATCAAGGCAAAAAGCACTGATGGCCTGAATGAAGTCTAGCGGCTCCAGATATGGGCAGATAGGATCACAGTCAAGAGTAACCAAGTGCTGGTGGGAAAGGGAGGAGGAATAGCATGAAAAGACTTCTGGTCTCTGAGGATGAGATAACCGAGTAGCAGGTGAAGCCCTGCACTGAGACAGGGAATAAAGAACAAGAAGCAGGTTTCCGAGGCTGCAAGGAAAATGGTAAGTTAGTCCCTGGACTGAGCTTACAGTTTGAGAGGGACCCTGGGCAGCCATCCAGGAGGCAGAGGACACACAAGTGTGGAGATCAGGGGAGAGGCTGAGTTGCTCGGGGCTGGAGGATGGCTCTGGAGATCACCAGAACGTGTACAGTGGAGGAGGTGGCCCAGGGTGTCCTGGTGGTGAGAACCACGAGTGATCCCAGCTGAAGCAGGAAACCAAGGGGGAGGAAGATGAGAGGACCATCAGATGTCAGTGTGCCAGGGCCTTGGGATGAGACAAATGCCCAGAAGGAAGCTGCCCACAATGTCAGACATGGCCAGAAAGACACAGGAAAGTGCCCACTGGACGTGGTGAGCAGTGATGTTGCCTGAGTGACTCCAGTTGAATAACGCACAAGAGTACAAGGCATTGCATCTTACTGGGGCTAACTTATGCCAATGTCAATATTCAAGTGGAATGAAACAAATGACTTAAAACAACCAAAAATTAAAAGGGAAAGTCCCTGACGATCCTATGCACACAGATCCAGTCACTTGGCTTTATTCACACTTTCCCTGAGCCAGTATTTTTTTTTTAATTCCTGAAAAAGCCTCTATTTTCTTGAATGTACATGACAACACGGTGGGTGGAGGTGGTTTTGTCCCCATCTGAGCCAGTCCTGACCTGCCTGAGAATGGACCAGTCTCCTCTCAGTAAAATGATGGTTGCAGAACTTTTTTTTTTTAAATAAAAAAGGAGATGTTATGCTCCACCATTCAGGAGGAAAAAAAAGAAGAACATTAACTTGTTTTTACTACAGGACATTAATGTAAAATATGCATTAAAAAAAAGGGTGAGAACATGGCAAATGAGCAGTTGCTTCTGGTTAGTCTCTTCAGCATTTGTTTTTTCCCAATTATATGTGCTTTTTGATACATTCAAATGTTCCTACAAAGAGCACGCATTACTTTTAAGATCAGAAAAAAAAACTGGTAAGGCTGGAAAAAATGCTTTAATCAAATTCAAACAGAAGGTAAGCAGGGATAACAATATTAACGTTAGACAAAATATATTCCAGGCAGAGGGGGAAAAGTATGCTTTTAAAATAAAGGGAGCAGTGCATAATGGTAACCGCCACTGCTGATAGTGAAGCCGTGCAGATACAAATCTCTAGTTGCCAAAGAAACTGACAACAAGATACAGAAATCAAACATTATTAGGAACACAGGAAGGAACAGTCATTGTAGGAGGAGATTTTAAAACACCATTATCAAAAAGACTTAAGAAAATAAACTCATAGTCTATCTAAATACACAAAATTGATGTCTGGCAGGAATTCAATTCCATGATTACAGTGTAGGGGGGTCTTTTCAAGTGTGTATAGAGCATTTACAAAACTTGTTAATACTAGTCACAAAGAAAATCTTAATATAGAAAAAAAAGTTAAATTTCTCTTTCAGTTAAAGGCACTTCTAGCCTGGAGAAAAGATAGAGGCTAGAGCCAGGGAGAGAAAAGAGGGAAACAATGTTAATGTGGTCCACTCCGGGTTCCCTAGGTATTCTGGGGGACAGGGGAGGATGAATGGGAATTAACTTTATCATCAGACTGAAACAAATACCTCATCCTCATTTTTTCTCACTCACTAAACATCTTCATTTAGATCCGAAGTGTGAACCACTGAAATGGTACTTAACCCAGTGGTTCTCAAAGTGTGGTCCCTGCAACAGCAAAAGCAGCAGCATCCCCCAGGAGCTTGTGAGAAATGCAAATTCTCAAACCCACCCCAGGCCTCCCGATGCAGAAATTCCTCAGGGTTCTAGGAGGCTCTGATGAAAAAGCATCAGGTGCTAAAGGTGTATAAATACCCCAGCTCCCTCATCCTCGAGCAGGTCAACTCAGAGGAATGGGTTTTATTCTGGCTCCCAGAGTTCCCCCAGTGGGATTCAGCTCCCTTCACCCACAGTAACAATCTGCATAACCCCCCTTTGGGGGATGCCTCCCTTCTGAGTCTGACTTCCCCCTTCCCCTAGCGGTGCTCTTCACCTCCCAAATAAACTAATGCACTCAAGTCATAGTTTCAGGGGCTATTTGGTGGGGGAACCCGCACTAAGACATCTACTGGAGACCCCTGTTCTCACAGAGCCTGTGTTCTGGTTGAGACCGACTTGTTCATCTGTTCCTTCCTCTCTGGCTGGGTCTGCTGAGATTTCCTCGGGGAAGGGAGTCATGAGTCCTCACCCCACTTCAGTCCAGCACCTACAGTACGCCCTCTTCTCTGGGTGTGCTAGCTCTGCTCTGCACCCCCTCAGCCACTGTGCTGCCAGCTTCCACTAGTCCTTTCCCAGCCCCATCCACCTTCATCGCTTACTCCCTGTTGGGTGAGCCTCCAGCTGTGACAGACGCGTGTGTGATCTCACATGCTCTATGAGGTAAACCGTGAGGCAGCACAGAGCAAGGGTCTTAGGATGTCAGCAAAGGAATTGCCAGGAAGTGACACATAGGGGACACCTAGGCGGCAAGTGGGACTTAACCAGCAGATGGAGGGGGCAGGAGGAGCCAGGATTCTCCGCAGAGGGCACGGAAGTACTTCTGAGGCCAGAGGTCTGCGGCGGGCACACAGGGAGGCTGCAGAGAGGGGCACTGTGAGCTGTGACTTTGCTGGATGACTTAGAGGCTTCAGGGAACTGAAAGACTCTCCACGTCCGTTTAGAAGAATACAGATAACGAAATGGCCCGAGGGAAAGGGAGAAACACAGGGATGTGAAACCCCAGCAAAGGACCCATCAGTCCTCAAGCCTGCGGGCCCGGGAGACGGTGGTGCCCTGACGGGTGTATGGCCGGGTGCAGGCACCCTCAGACCCTTCGCTGGGAACAAAGGGGCAGGGGAACTCCAACTTCTGGGCTGATGAAATGTGACAGACAGGTTTCCAACAGGACCCATGACACTGTCCAGCCTCTTCCTCAGCCTCTCCTGACGGGGGAGCCCAGGGTCACCTCTACAGATCCTGCTGAGAGCGAGGGGTTCGGCCTTCCCCTAATCCTTCAGTTGCTCAGAAGATAAGCCTCCTTGGCCTTAAGGGTGCACACTGGCTGGCTTTCTCTGATGTCACCAGCTTGTGCAGGGGTCTCTCCCTGCAGTGGATTTTGTAGCCTGTGTGCCAACACAAAGGTACAATTGGACAAATCAGCCCCCTACCGCCACTTCGACACCAGGCCTTCATCTCCGAGGACTTCAAAGGACACTTGTTATTGCCATCTGAGATTTGCTTTTTTATAACTTTTTTAATTGAACCATCATTCTTAATAGAGCTGAACTCCAAAAGACCTGCAAACACGGTGCATTTGTACCGACAGTCATTTTGGGCTCAGTGGCCCAGCGGGGAATGAATTCAGACATGAATTCAGAGGGAATTCTGTATGATGAACAGTTCCCAGCACAGGACAGAATTTCCTTTTTCCTTCTGCCGCTCGGAGAAGGACGACAGAGATAGGGTTGGGGGTGGGGAGTGCGGAGTGTGGAGGAATTCAGCTCTTCAGTGTCATCTACTTTAGGGAATATGAGGAGGGGAAGATGGTCCAGACATAACCAGCAATTTGTTCTTAGGAGCCTTGGAGGACTCAAGGACCAATGGACTCGTGTTTGCCTGGATTTCTTCCTCCCACACAGCCCCCAACCCCCAGATACGCCCCAGAGACAGGAGACAAAGACACTGGGGCTCAGGATGAATGAAAATGGTACTTCCCCCACCACTGACATCGTGTGCTTGCTTCTTCCTCTCCAAATATTGTGTGCAGGCTGGCAGCCCCCGTACCTTCATCACTGTTGTCGTCCACCAGGATGATTTCCTTCAGCAGGTGGGTCGGCGTGTGGTTGACAGCACTATGGACTGATCGCAGGATCACCGACAGGGCCTCGTTCACGAAGATAAATATAATGGATATCTGGGGCAGCTCCTTGGAGTACTTCAGCTCCTTACACCTGGGGGAAAAGAGCAGGGGAGAGCGGAGTCAGAGGAAGGGGCGAGGCACAGGCACTGAGGCTGCACACGGCGAGGATGTCAGCCCAGTCCTCACACACATCCTCCCAAGGCCAGAATCACTGGTTTCCTCTTGGCTTCTTAGAATTGAGAATGAAACCTAAGAAGGAGACACGTAAGAAATCCAGCCTCTTTTCTCCCAAAGTTACTGCCCCATCGGAATGGGAAGCCTCAGTTGTGGGCACACATCTACTGTACCCCAGGCTGCCACACCCACACGTACCCCAGGTCCCACTTGAGCGCACACCTGCCGACTCCCCACCCGGGCACCTGCATTTTCTTCCTTTACCTGCTTTGCTGCCATCCAAGCGATTGCCTCACCCCCATCAGCTCGCATCCAGAGACGTCTGGGAGATGATGTATAAATTCCCCAGCTCCCTCGCCCTTGAGCTGGATCCCTGCGAAGTGGGTTGTGCACTGCCTCCCAGAGTTCCCCGCACTGGGATTAAGTTTCATCACCCACAGTAGCAATCTGCAGAGCACCCTCCCCTGGGGATGCTTTTCCTTCTCATTTCTGCTTTCCCACTCCACTACTACTGGCGCTCTTTGCACCTCCCAAATGAACTAACGCACTCAAATCTTTGTTTCAGGGGCTGTTTCTGGGAGAACCCAAACTAAGGCATCTACTGGATCTACTAAGTACCCAGCACTGTGCAGGAGACCTCTGCTCTCCTGGAGACCACACACTAGAAGAAGACACAAAACACATGCAAATAATCATAAGGGCGGGGTCCTCTGTCTGCCAGGACTGTGCTGCCTGACACACGGCACTCTTCTTGCAAGCATTCCTAGAATCTCCCTGGGGGCCAGAAGTGGGACCACCTGCCTAAGAGGTCTTGCCTCCTAATATTCAGCAACTCCCCCATCCCTGAACACAGGGGTGAAAGAAAAGAATGTTTTTCATCCGGCTGGACTCAGAGGTGTAGAGCTTGAGGGGGGCCCCGGTGATGTCAGGGGTGGCTGAATGCCCAGGGAACCTGTTCTGCAGGGCTCAGTCACGGGGACACCAGCACTCTGTCCACGGAGCACTGGGGAGTCTGGTTTTATTCTTAGTCTGAACCATGTCGGAAATACCGAGCGGAAAGAGAGCAGAATGGAATACGGGGCGAGTGCATTTCAACACACCCTCCTGCTCCTTGTGTGCGACTGTACAGTATCCAGCACAATGTGTTCCAGACTGAAACAAAGGGAACGAGAGGGAAGGATGGAAGGAGAGGGAAGCAGTACTGAAGAGGGAGCAAGAAATACAGCTGTTCTTTATGCTGAACAGCTTGGGCTGTGTCGGGCCATATTAATCATGTAGGCAATTTTTCGGAGGAAAATAAAGTTTTGTTACAATATACATTTGTGTCTCCTGGAGGAGACCGTCCAGGGATCCATTGATCATGCAGCCTCATTTTTACCACGTCGCTATAAATTCACTTCTGGGGGCTGCCGAGGAGATGAGAATGGTTACTGACGGGCTCCCAGGCGGTTGGCAGGAACCATCGCATTGACTACGTGGTGATCTGGGAGGAGAGCACGTCCCGGAAGGCCCCTCGGAGAACCCGGACGGGGGCCGGCAGCCATCCAAAGCTGGCTGGCTGAAAGTTGCTCCTCCTCAGCCTGATCCTCGCCATCCACGCGGGCACCCCCACCGGACACACCCGCCTACTCTGAGCATTCACTCCTGGGGCTGGTATCATTGGGCCTTGGTTTTTCACAGATCTGGCCCTGGAAACGAAGCAGCAAGAAGGCCAGACTGCACTGTACCAGCCCTGTCCGCTCCAGCCACAGGCACTGCGGTCAGGCTTCAGTCAAGACTGGCTGCCCAGGTGACTCCCCCTAGCGAGGTGGGACTCATGGGAGCCTCCGGGGCACAGGGGCCCCACACCTGCCCCTTTATGGTCAAGGCGGCCATTCAGTAAACCATGGGGGGGTCTCAGAAGTGAGAAGCGTTCTGCCACACGTTGAACTTGTGACTCTGGGCACACTGATCATATTTCTTCAGCTCGAAAACTGCCTGGCTAAGGTCCTCATAAGGGTCTGGTGAGACAACCTGTGAAGCCCCTGGGAAAATGCAATGTACCAATTAATAGAAAGACCAGCCTGCCTGCCCGGCCCCTCCATCCTCCCTCCTGGCTCCTCTGCTCCCTTCTGTAAATTTCCCATCACCCCGGGCCAGGCTTCCAGGCTTTTACTCAACCCAGGCCCTTCCTGCAGGACCCACCCAGGACTCTGCTCCCCGCAAGGGCCCTGGTCAGTCTCCAAGCTTGCCCAGCTTACAGTGATTCACCTCTCAGGTGCCTGACATCTGAGGGTTTCACAGCAGGCAGACAATATGAGTACAGTCATTATGAAAATCAGCACTGACTTAGTTGCTCTAGAGAGGTAGATGGTGCCTTAAAAAATCTCTAAGCCTGGCTTATGGCCTGATACACAGGAGAGGCAGACAACATGCTGGAGAGATGGAGAGAAGGCCAACTGAGGCTGTGAGCACCTGCTGTAAGGAGGAGGCATTACCTGACGCATAAGTTACTTCTGATCAGACACCCAATGCCGAACACAGCAGACAAGTGCGGGGAGGGAGGTTAAAGGTGGATGGTGCAAAGGAAAGAGAGGCCTCGCAGGACTTAGAAACAGTGGTGACTGCGCAGAGGAAGAGAGTGGACACGGTTCCTGTCCCTAGGAGCTGATGCTGAAACACTCCCCTGTGGCCTGATAACCCTCAGATGGTGTTTCTAAACCACACAGACCTGAGTACCCCACACCCTGCAGACGAGGGCTGACGTGAAAGAAGCATCCCCTCCCCCCACCAATTTCTGAGTTCCTGCAGAGCTGACAGGGTGGATGGGTGCTCAGTGCCAAGGTGGTGTGTGCGGTGCTCTGGGGGTGGCCCTGGCCACAGCCCAGGGGCAGGGAGATCTGGGGAAGGGAGCAGTCAGCTCAGCTCGGCATCCAGCCCCGTCTCCATATAATGGGACGTCCAGAACCAGACGTGTTTCCTGCCTTCCTGACAGCCTCCCAGACTGCAAGATCCAGGTAAGTGAGAGTAGCCTGGAAGGTCGTGCGGATGAAAGGACAGGTTCCGGATTTGAAGGATTCCTGGGGAGAGAGGAGGGCACGCCACGGAAACTGCCCAGTTCCTCAAAATCCACAGGGCTCTGCGCACTTCCTCTAGGAACGCAGACTCAGAAATCACAAATTTCCTTTCAATAACTAGTCAGTAAGAAATAAACACTCTTTTGTCTGAAAGAAAACGGTTGGTGGCAAAGCTATCTCAAGGTCGGGATCAATTTCAATCAATGCTCCAGGCGGGAAGAGGGGCTACAAAGAAATTCAAGACCAGGTTCCTCTCCTCCAAAAGCTAACAAGGGACCAGATTCTCTGGGAAGTGAGAATCACAAGCAGAGACAAATAACCAACCAACTGAGGTCTCTTAGACACCTTATATTTGCCCATCTGTCTGTCCATCTGTCTGGGATGCCTCCTTGAACTCCGCGACTGCCCGAGGGTAACGACTGTTCCCCCTCCCTCGTTCCCCTCACGCCAGAGCCGCTGGCACGGACTTCACTTAATACCAGAAGTGCACGTGCTCTTTGCTGGCACCGAGTAAGAAGAGGAGGATTGGGGAGACTGGGCTGCCTCCGGGAACTCACTAGAGAATCCTGGTTGACATGAAAGAAGATCAAGGGTCGAGGCCTCCAGAGGGAAAGAAATCAAAGCCCAAAGAGCTGGCCACGCCCTCTCAGAAGCAGATCCCTGCCCATGACCGCCTTTGAAGGAGGCAATTTCTAAGACCCCAATGTGGTACAGGTAAACGGTATCAAGACACACTATTAACCCAGTCTCCCAATCTGGAAACAGAAAGAGGACCCCCAAATCATGGGGATATCATTGTAAAAAACTTTTAGATCCAACCCCCAGGAGACCCAGGAGGCTGCAGATGATGAAGCTAATAATAAACAACATGTCACAGTCTTGGTGCAGGCTATGTGCCAGAAACTTCTGGAAGCTTCCCTGTACTGTGCTATCTCATTAAATTCCACAGCCATCTTATGAGGTAGGCAGTGTTATTATCCCCATTTCATAGATAGGGCAACTGGGGCCCAGAGAGGTGAAGTCACTTGCCCTAAGTCACACTGCAGGTCTGAAAAGCAGCAGGAGTGCCTGCATGTGAACTTTACCATCTGACCTTTGGACTCTTGCAAATGCTCCTGCCTGCCCGGGACAGGGTGTGGTAGACAGCAGACAAGCCTCTACACAATTTCTAGCCCAGCCCCTTCCTAGCTGGGGTCCTTGGCTAAGTTGTTTGGTCTTTCTGAGCCTCAGCTTCCTTATCTCTGCCTAAAAAGCCCCACCGAGGAGACGGCCCGCCGTGGCCAGCCACACCGTGCCCGTAGCCTGCTGGGGGCAGACGGGGTACACACGAAGAAAGTTCCCTTTAAGTGGGACATGTGAGCAGTAGGGTTGATAAGGCTGGTGCCAATGTGGGCAAATCTCCTACTATTCTGGCTGTGAAACTGGGCAGGGGGCCACTTGGGTGGTGGTCCCCCAGGGAGTTATCAGAGTCCTTTAACTGAAGACCCCAAGCAGAGAGAGGCCACATCTGCTCTCAGCCCTGCCAGGGCCCTGCAAAGATTCTGCTCTTATCAACCCACATCGGTCCTCGTGCATCCAGGCCCATCTCTCTGTCCCCGCCACCCTGCAGGGCAGGGTCAGAGAGCCCCGGGACCTACAGAGGCTGGGTGTGGAGGGTGCAGAGGTGTGTGCTCAGGACAGCTGGGTGGGGCCTGTGCAGGGCAGGAGCCCCCGGGCCTGAGCTCAGGCTCTGGTTCTTGCCCCTGGTCCCTCTCCTGCTCACCAGTCCCTCAGGCCCCACCTGTGGTGAGGGCTCCCATCCCACAGCTTACCTGCTTTCTCTGTGTCCCTTGGCCCACATGGCCCATCACTGCGGCCAGCC